TCTGACGAGCAGTCACCAGCCACATCGACCTGATCAGTGTTTGATTGTTTGTTGTGTCTTGTTGCTTTTTTTCTTTTGTCTCTCCTCTATCCACTCACCCCAACCGGTCGAGGCAGAAGGCCGCCCACCAAGAGCTGGGGTCTGTCGGAGGTTTCTTCCGTTAAAGGGAGTTTTTCCTCCCCACTGTCGCCAAGTGCTGCTCAAGGGGGATTTGTTGGGTTTTCCCTATGTAATAATATTGATAACAGTAAGGTCTAGACCTTACTTTGTAAAGTGTCCTGAGATGACTTTTGTTGTGATTTGGCGCTATACAAATAAAATTTGATTTGATTTGATTTGAAGTGGATAGAAACAGAAACCATGGGTGTACATGGAAACTGGTCAACTACTGCATGAAGTCATAAATCATTAGGATCATCTGGCCTTAGCCACTGTCATTTTTATTCTCATTAGGGTCAGCTGAACTGTGTGAATTTCAGCAATAATTATGATTTTCATTAGGGCTACAACAAAAAATGATTTTCTCCATTAACTGATAAAAAGTCTATGAAACATGATGAAACAATGCCAATTATATTAAAAGGGGATGTCTTCATATGCTTAGACTGATCAGCAGATCAAAACCAAAAGAAATGTGACAAAATAGTTATCAATTAAAGAGTTAGTTAGTTAGTTATCAATCAAAATCCTCCTATTGGAAAAGCTGGAACCAGCAAAATGTTGGCATTGTGTTTGAAAAATTAATGAGTTATAAAATCAGTTATAAAAATTCTTGCTAACTAAATTTCTGTAAACTGATTTGTAATCATTTCAGCTGTACCTGTCAGGAGGGGGAAAAGTCACACATTTTCATTTATAATTACACATGTACCAATTTGTACCAGGTGGTGGCACTTCAGTCCTACACAGCCCCTTCCCAGTCTGGAGCGTCCACACTTGACAACCTTCTTTGACAATGCATTGACATTGTTACAAGTCAAAGAGAAATGGAGCTGCAAGAATTATTTTCATTTT